AGAATTGTTCATATAAAAAAATAATGCAATAATTACAAAATGGTACAAGAATAAACTCACAAATGTAAATATACTTTTTCCCTACTCCATATAACTGTCTGCATGACTTTGGAAGAATCTTAGGAAACCTTTAAAAACATACATAATTCATGATCCTGTTCTTAAACATATTTGAAGAATGTCATATCTGAAAATGTATTCATATTCAATGTTTTTCAAGTGATAATATTCCATACAGTCATACAGTCAATAAAGCATGAACTCTGTATATTAAAGTGCATTTGCAGCCTCTGTTGCTATTTGTGGGTTTACTTGTGGTGCAGAGAAATTGTTAGAATATTCCCTAGCAATACTTCCCTAGATTATAACCTTGCCTATAGTACTTGTGCTTGGTGAATAAAGGCCTGCCTACACCACTAAATATATGCATTGCTTCAAATTACAAAGGTTTATCATTGGTTCAATTTCTTCATTTTTTTAATATATGAATTTTTATTATTGACAGTATTACATATGTCCCCCACTTTCCCTTCTTTTGCCTCCCTCCACCAAGTCCCTGCCCTACCCCTGGCCTTTATCACACTATTGTCTGTGCAGATGGGCTATGCATATATGTATATAGGTTCTTTGGTTAATCTCTTTCCACAAATCCATGCCCACCATTCCTCTGGGATCTGGTTTTTGATACTCATTTCTATTGGATCAAATATTAGGATTGGTTCTGCTTTAAGAGCTAATTCATCAAAATTACTTTTGGTTGATTATACTACAGTTGCTGAGTTCTAGAGACAATGAGTAGAAATATAATGCTTTATGGTTTTATATTCGAAACTACAGGTATGATCTTAAGGGGTACACTGAACTGGGCTCATTAATCCATTGGTTTGTAAAAGGAAGATTTCAAAGTTAATATCCCCAAGAATCATTTAAAAAGAGGGGAAGCATGAAAGAAGTGAAATATTTCATACCTGTGTGGCCCAAAAGAGCTGTAAGGTATGACTTTGCTAAGTCCAAACTTAACAGGACTTTGAGAAGAAAGAAAAAGGGATGGATGTTGCAGTTCAGAAGGGCTGCTTTACGTCTTGAATGATACATGCTGTGTGACAGTGATTGTGTCACTGAATGTTTCTAAGTCTCAGTTTTCTTATTTGTACATGGGAATATGATAATATGTAATCATAAGACAGAATCATAATGTTATGAGGATTAAATTAGATACTGTATATGATAACTCTTTGTAACTACAAGGAATGATGGTTTCCTATGCTGAAAATATAATACATTGTCTAGTAGAAATGCCACACCAATGTGTCCATGGTGAGGGAAAAAATATGATTTTAGTTCCACAGAGATTTTCAAACAGAAAAACCTATGTCTCTATACTTCTACTTGTGGATTCAAAATAAATATAGAGCTCTTCTATTTCTAGATACGGATTGTTACTGGCTCTTACACTGCTGTTGCTGTTCATATCTACATAATTTATCGGTTTCTTTCATTTTGACTGTTATCACATACAGCTAAAAAGAAACCCAGCATGTCTTTCTGTTAAAATAAAAATCAATGGGTCATGTAACTGAACTTTGGATATTCTTTTTAAAAAATATATTTTTATTGATTTTAGAGAGGAAGGGAGAGGGAGAAAGAGAGAAACATCAATGATGAGAGAGAATCATCGATTGGATGCCTCCTGCACACCCTCTACTGGGGATCGGGCCTGCAACCTGGGCATGTGCCCTTGATTTTAATTGAACCGGGGACCCTTTAGTCTGCAGATTGACACTCTATCCACTGAGTCAAACTGGCTAGGGCCAAGATATTCTGATATTAGACATAGCCTGGTAGTATTTCTTTTACTACATAATTATGCCCAAATTTAAGAACTTTCTTAGGTTTCTATCTGCCTTCCTGCTACTCCAAATCTCTATTTCTTGCTTTTCTTTCTTTCTTTCTTTTTTTTTTTTTTAGCAGTCAAGGAAACAAAGATGTATTTGTACTTACTTTTATCATGGTTTTAGAACTAATGTAGCACTCTAAGTGTCTAAATGCTTATTTATTTATTTTAGAAATATGATATCATAATGATGGTGGGCTCAAACTCCCCTCCACAGAAGCTGGGTAGTTTTAGTTCTCATGTACATTCTTCGAAATGTAAAGTGTTCTCAATGAGTTGCTCTTCCAGTAATGCGGATGAAGATGTTTGATGTGAACCTCATTTCTTGCTTTGTTCACTTTCTGCACAAGATTCACATTTATAATACAGCAGAGAGAGTGGTTAGGATTATGGTAAAAAATATGAAATCATCTTGACTCAGTAATGTGCAAACTAAAACCTTGGATCTACCAGCTTTCTGCTAAAAACACTTTTGGAGTCTATCCTAAGATCATGTTAAAAAATAGCAACAAGTGAAATTCGCCACAATAAGAGCATATACCACAAACGAACTGAACTGTTTAACATGAATAGACTGTCTGTATGTGGGTTTGGGGACGAGGGGTTTCAAAGTTAGAATTATAGAAGGAAAAACATTATTCCAACAAGCCCCATCTGTATTATGAATAAAGGGGGCAACTCTATTGATTCTAAACTAAATTTTGTCTCGTGGTATCTCGCCCAACATCAGATACAGAATCATAGGATTGAACTAGATGTGACCTTAGGCAAAATGGACTGTCTCATGTTATAAATGAGGGCATTGAAGCTGAGAGAGGTTAAATGGATTTCCCAAGATAACATGGTCAAATAATAGCTTAGCCTTCTGATATTCACTCCAATACTATTTTTATTGTATCACACAGTCTCCCTTCATGTACTTGCTTATATTTATATCCAAGTCTTTATTTATTTTAAAAATGGATGAAAATCAAGCTATTAATATTTCCTCCTACTTTACATATAAATAAATAGCTCAAGCTATAATGGATCCCTTATCATAGATTAGAAAAAACTTTTCCTATCATCATAATCTTTTGGCCTTATTTGCAAATTTAGGTGCAACTGTTACAAATCTTGTAGTACATCCTGAAAGCAAATGTGGCATTTAGCTCTCTAAAAGAAATTTTAAGATATAGTTCAAGAGCACTTGTATATAACAAATGCCGGGCATTGCTTTGCCTTGGACATTTATTACTTTCTTTGTTTATGCTTAAAATGAAAAACATACTAAGGATGAAACTGATAAGATGTTTTTTTTTTGATTAATGTATTACAAGTGTGTGGTTATCTCCCCATTGCCCCTCATCCCCTTCAAAATCCTGCCCTCACCCTTACCCCCTGTTGTCTGCCTCCATTGGTTATGCTTATATGCATGCATACAAGTCTCTTGGTTGATCTCTCCCTAACCCCCAACCTCCCCTACCTTCCCTCTGAGATTTGAGCATCTGATTGATGTGAAACTGATAAGATTTAAATATATATATATATATATATATATATATATATATATATATTATTGAGCATCTGATTGATGTGAAACTGATAAGAATTTTATATATATATATATATGTATATATATATATATATATATATATATATATATATATATATATATAATTGAATTCTGAGAGGAAGGGAGCAGGAAAGAGAGATAGAAACATCAATGATGTGAGAGGATCATTGATCAGCTGCCCTCTGCCTGCTCCCTACTGGGGATCAAGCCCACAACCCCAGGCAGGTACTGTTGACTGGAATTGAACCCAGGACCCTTCAGTCTGCATGCTGACACTCGATCCACTGAGCTAAACCTGCTAGGGCAAAACTGATAAGATTTTAATAGTACTTAATGGAGCAAACATACATAGGAACTCACTGCTTAACTATATTGCCTTGCTTTAGTCAATGCCACTTATAACAGTCATCATACAAATATTTCAAAATTATTGATCACAACAAGAATTAAATGATATGAAATCTCAGGAGGTCACAAAATTGGACTTGTTTTTATTAAAGCTTGAGCAATTCTTTAACAGAACTGTCGATCAGACCTCTAAATGAACTATTTGGAAAACTCATCTGGTTTTCAGTTTTTTTGTTATTATAACTCTGAGAGAAAACATTTTTAAACCCAGTTGCCACTCTGTCCTCAGTAGCATACACTCTGCATCCTATGAAATTGGAAAAAGGAAGGAAAACAGTTTTCCAATTCTGTCATTAAGCCAGTTTTACAGTTTGGGGGTATAACACAGTGTCCTTTACATATGTAATATATTGACATATCTCTTCCACCATTATATTTTCTGAGTTCTTACTATGAGCCAGTTACTGTACTAACAATTCTATATGAATTAGTTCACTTAATATTATAGCATGCATATTAGAGATGAGAAAATTAGCAATCAGAAAGGTCAAGTGACTCTGATTCCAAAACGTGTATGTTATAATAGTAATAATTATAATGGCAATAGCACCAATAGTTGGAATTTATATAGTGTTACCATGGGACTAGTACTGTTCCGAGTACTTACCATGTGTTTTGATTTACTGGTCCTAATAATAAGCCAATATTTTAGGAACATTTATTATCCCCATTTTCTTCAGATGAAAGATTGAGGCATAGAGAGTTTAAATAGCCTTGATCACACTTATATTTCCTGCCTGTTTGTGGACCAATGTTGTTTCTTTAAAAGATTTTAGGATGTCTTACCTTTGACTTTTGTTCACATTAGGATTCCAAAGGGAAAGATGTTTTAAGAATCCAAGCAGTAATAGTACAAAGTAATTGTATGCCGGTAATTTAGTTTTTTTAATCATGATTCAGCATTATCTCCTATGTTTATTGCAAGATATAATAAAGCCTAACTTTAAGCCAGTTATAAAAGTTAATTTTAATAGGTTTGAAAACATTTATATAGGGACTTAACAAACAATACAAAATATCCTATACTCACAAAATATTTTTGTGAATGTCCTGTGAAAAATTACTTTTATTGTTCCTCATAAACAAGTTTTATCTGTATATTCTTATTGGAACAGGGAACTGAAATGCTAATAATGTTCCTACCTGAAGAAGTTTCCATCTGGTGTTCAGGTCTTCCAGAATATTGAGGTTATATGGTGACAACTGAATGCCCAATGTGGTGAGTTGACGAGCAAGGTCATTGACGTGGCTTACGTTCTCTTTAAGAGGCGCAATTTCTCCTCGAAGTGCCTGTGTAAAATAGTCAAGGGCAAATTGGAAGATGAGAATATTTAAAACAAAGAAACAGACATATGGGAACTACAAGATATTATATTCTGTTTGGGTGCAGTATCAGTGATATTAGCTCTATCATAGTGGTAGTATAACAATGAACATTTGTTAATGGGTAAATATTATAATAATATTTCTTGAGTACTTCTTAGATGTCTAATCCTGTGATGATCTCTGTCCACATGTCATTTGATTTTATTCCTACACAATAACCTATGAGGTTAATACTTAGAGAATTCTTATTTTACACAGAGAAAACAAACTTGGGGAGGTTAAACCTTGCCCAAGATCCCATGGGTCAAAATTGAGAAACCTGGGATACATACCCAGGTTTGCCTGTCCCCAGAGTGCTTATTATTTTTTAAAATGTATCTTTATAATTGAAAATATTACAGAGGTACCACTTTCTTCCCCATTGACCTCCTCCATCCTGCCAGGCTTTCACCACACTGTTATTTGTGCCCATGGGTTATGCACATATGCATATAAATGCCTATTCTTTTTTAAAAAAATATATTTTATTGATTTTTGTACAGAGAGGAAGGGAGAGAGATAGAGAGCTAGAAACATCAATGAGAGAGAGTCATCGATCAGCTGCCTCTTACACACCCCCCACTGGGGATGTGCCCGCAACCAAGGAACATGCCCTTGACCGGAATCGAACCCGGGGCCCTTCAGTCCCCAAGCCGATGCTCTATCCTTTGAGCCAAACCGGTCCCGGCCTATTCTTAACTATTATATCATATGCCTCTCCGAAGAAGTTCTGAATTGGCAAAGTAATGGGAAAAATATGGTGCTGCTAGATTCTAAATTCTACTCATCTCACAACCAGATATAGATTTTTTTTTTACAAAAAAAAGATATACTCTGTCATAAAATATTACATTCATACTTTGAACCAACTACATAATAAATGGATTCATTTAGAGATTAGGGTATTTTGTCAAGTTTTAAGAATGACTTCCTGGTCTTCTGATATTTTAGTCCTTGTAGCAATGACTTAAGAAGGCTCCCATGGGGCTTCTCAGCTGTCTCTAAAGCACTAGATTGGGATTCTCTGATGCAATACATCATGACAATCTGTTGAACAGAAGAACACTATGCAGATATGGGGAGGATATTACCATGTGTCATATCTACCCTACTGAGATGACATTTATGGATCTTTAACATGATGTATGATGTCCAAATGTTCCAATGAGCAATTTCTAACGGACAAATTCCCTCATTTAGGAGAACAATTTGTGTAATATAATGTCTGTGCACAAGGACAGCATCATTTACTTGGCTATAGTGCTGTTTTAACTTGCTTGATCTGGGCATGTGTTATTTCTCTGGTTCTCTATGTTTATAAAAGACATTGTTTACACTCTCCTCATCTATAACCCTCCAATTCATCCCCATTGCAAATGGAAGAAACCCGTATGTACATTCTAAATAAGAATGTAATTATCCTCTCAAATCTATCTGAATATCTCACCACTAAAATGTGGTACAGTGTGGAGTGTAAGATTCTTATATAGTTATTAGAAAACACAAGACACTGTGCTAATCTCTCTCCTGAACTCAGTTTTTTTTTTTTAAAGTAGTCATTAAAAATATTAAAGGATCGGGAGTTTCTTTTGAGAGATACACTGGAATTAGTGGTGATGATGGCACAACCTTGTGAATATGCTAAACACTGCTGAATATTACACTTTAAAAGGTTGAATTTTATGGTATGTGAATTACATATCCATTAAAATTAAAACAAAGAAAAACAAAAGATACACTTCTGACTGAACACATACATACAACAATCTTATGTAATATATGCATCTTTATTCAACTCCATGTCAGTGGAATGTCATAGAAATCAGTCTAAAACTAAAATTTTTTTTATAGGGATTGATAGTAAATATTATTTCATTTCTTTGTAAGAAAATGATGCATAATAATTTTGTTTTGCATAATATAAATGTTGGAAAACAGATTTCTTAAATGACAATGGTGAAACCTAGATAAGGACAACCATTACAAAATGGAACCAATCTCTTCTGGATAATAATGTGTTGGTAATAACCACTAATAAATATCATATGAGTGCAAATTATAAGTGGGAAACCAGCCATAATCTGAAAATGTTGTTGCAGATTAAACCTTTATGCTAATCATCTGCCTTCACTAGTGTGGCTCTCAGCCGTTAAATTGAGAAGCCATCTCAGTTAAATCATATCTAGATTTCAGCTTTCTTTGGATTACATAATCTACATGTTCAAATGTCTTTTATTAGAATACTAGAGGCCTGGTACATGAAATTCGTGCACAGGGGTGGGGGTGGGGAGGGGATTGTCCCACAGCCCAGCTTGCACGCTCTCCAATCTGGGACATCCTTCTCGCAATCCAGGACTGCTGGCTCCCAATTGCTCGCCTGCCTGCCTTCCTGATTGTCCCTAACTGCTTCTGCCTGCCAGCCTGATCACCCCCTAACCACTCTTATGCCAGCCTGATTGATGTCTAACTGCTCCCCTGCCAGCCTGTTTGCCCCCAACTTCCCTCCTCTGCTGGCCTGATCACCACTAACTGCCCTCCCCTGCAGGGTTGATTGCCTCTAACTGCCCTCCCTTGCACGCCTGTTGCTTCCCAACTGCCCTCCCCTGCTGGCCATCTTGTGGTGGCCATCTTGTGTCCACATGGGGGCATGATATTTAACCACATGGGGGCAGCCATCTTGTACGTTGGAGTGATGGTCAATCTGCATATTACTCTTTTATTAGATAGGATAGAGGCAGGGTGTACGGGTAGGGGCCAGCTGGCTTGCCCTGAAGGGTGTCCCAGATCAGGGTAGGGGTTCCCTTGGGGCGTAGGGCAGCCTGAGCGAAGGACCTGTGGTGGTCTTCAGGCTGGCCATGCCCCCCTCCCCCCAGCAACCCAAGCAGAGGCTCTGGTTTCTGGGATTTTTTTTTTTTTTTATCTTCTACAACTGAAACTTTGCAGCCTGGAGCAAAGCCAAGCCTTCTGCTCACACCATGGCTGCTGCCATTTCTGTTTGGAATTTATGTATCTTGTATAATTGAAATTTTGTAGCCTGGAGTGGAGCTTAGGCTTGCTAGGACAGGCGGAAAGCTTGGCTTCTTCCGTTGCCAGAGAAACCTAAGCCTCTGTGGCCACAGCCATCTTGGTTGGGGTTAATTTGCATATGCACTCTGATTGGTTTGTGGGTGTGGTTGGTGGGCGTGGCTTGTGGAGCAGAGTGATCCTAGGTTCTTATCGCTTCTTTTTTTATACTCATACTAGAGGCCTGGTGCATGACATTCATGTACTGGTGGGGGGTGTATCCTTTAGTCAGGGGGTGTATCCCTTAGTCAGGCCTGTGCCCTCTTGCAGTCTGGGGAGCAGGCCTAAGCCAGCAGGCGGACTTCCCTGGAGGAGTCTTAGCACTGCTGCAGAGGTAGGAGAAGCTCCCACCACTGCCACTACACTCACTAGCTGTGATCCCGGCTTCTGGTTAAGCACTCCACCTGTGGGAGCACACTGACCATCAGGTGACAGCTCCTGTATTGAGCATCTGCCCCCTGGAGGTCAGTGTGTGTCATAGCGACTGGTTGTTCTGCCATTCAGTCAGTTGGCATATTAGGGTTTTATTTTATAAGATCTAACAATTATAATAAAAGTTCCCTTAACTAATATCCACTTAAGACTCACCATAGTCTTTATTCCTCTGTGAAATACATTGTCTGGAGCATCTATCAACCTCTAAGGAGAATGTTAGAGATATCTGTTAGTATGCATGGTCTTCAGCTCTCACTAGTTCAGTTGTCAGTCATGTTCTCAAATGTGTTTTGCCAATTAGTGTTACAATTATATGATTTAAAGCATCAGTCTAAAACTAAAAGTTTTTATAGGGATTGATAGTAAATATTATTTCTAACCAAAGAAATATGTCTAAAAATGAGTTATTATTGCCAAAACTGGTTTGGCTCAATGGATAGAGCATCGGCTTGGGGACTGAAGGGTTCTGGGGTCAATTCCGGTCAGGGGCATGTACCTTAATTGCGGGCATATCCCCAGTAGGGGGTGTGCAAGAGGCAGCTGATACATGATTCTCTCTCATCAATGTTTCTAACTCTCTATCTCTCTCCCTTCCTCTCTGTAAAAATTCAATAAAATATATTTTTAAAAATAATTAAATAAAAATAAAAATGAGTTATTATTTTTATGAAAACCAGGAAAGTTCCTTAAAAATTAAAAAGAAGTACTGTTGAAGAGGAGTGGACAAGACTGTAAAATATTGGGGAAAAAATCCAAAAAATTTAGAAGGATTCAGCATTGAGAATAATTCTCATGTTTCCTGATGCACTCTGCCCACATTAAAGAAACTGGAAATCAGATGTTTGCATTATCAGTGCAATTTATAGAGAACTCTAATCAGTGAATCTATACTCAAAGAAAAAACCTTCACACAATATTAAAATATTGATGGCTATTTTAAGATGGAATAAAATGTTTAAGAAATATCTTTTATGGTTCCCTGATTTAACTGACTCTTTCAATTAGTGGTTGAACTATAGGTCCTAATTAAATTGGAATAAAGAGCATCTATTACAAACTTTTAAAAACTAATATACTTTTATTGATTTCAGAAAGGGAGAGGGAGAGAGATAGAAACATCAATGATGAGAGAGAATCAATTAAGGATACCCCCTCACCCCATAAGTCTAGTTTAATTTGAATGCCTAAATTGCTGTTAAGATATATAGAGCTTTGGGGAGAGGCTAGCTGATAAAGAGACAACTTGGTGTAAGGCTCAGTTTAAGCAGATATTTTGATGGGCATGAACAGACTGAAGCACTTTAACCAGCAAGAAATCATCATAAGGTCTCTAAGTACACAAAGATGGAGGAAAGGAGATAACTGGTGGTAAAAACAAAACAAAGAGAAAAAAGGGGCAGGGGAGTGTTCAAATCAGCTGTCATTTT